CGGGTACTGGGAGAAGCTCTCCACGCACATGGGCTTTCCCGGAACCATCTCCACGATGGCCGCGTCGCCGGACTTCAGGGACTTGGGGTTGTCCTCCAGCTTCTTGCCCGAGCGCCGGTCGATCTTCTCCTTCAGCTCCGCGAACTTGCAGGCGATGTGCGCCGTGTGGCAGTCGATGACTGGCGAGTAGCCCGCGCTGATCTGCCCCGGGTGGTTCAGGATGATGACCTGCGGGCAGAAGCCACGTGGCCGTCAGCCACGCCCACGCCCACAACGGCTCAGGGCCCCTGGAGGGCCCAGGCTGAGCGCTGGCCCCCAGACCTGGGCAGAGCTAAGGTGGGTGGCAGGTCAGATCTCTGCGATGCACTTCCGTTACTCCCAACCAAGGCATTGCTTCCCACCGTTTTTTTCAGTTTTTGTACTAGTGCATGTGTGGTCACCAGAGACAGGAGAGAGGGAAGATGAGGAATCACGGGTGTGTGTGGCTGACCGCCACCCCTTCACCCTCCTCAGGGTTTTGGACATGCACACACAGACCCCTGGAGGCCCTGTGGAATTTAGGGGCCTTAACCACCATGCCACCAGCTGGCCCCTAAAGCTGCCTTTAAAAATTATTGTCAGGGGTAACCAGCAGTTAGTGTAATGGCTATGTCGCTGGACTCCCACGTAGTCGACCACGGTTTGCGTCCTGGACCCGGTGGCTTTAAACTCACGCCGGGCGCATGTGCGTGCGTGCCCAAGATCCCAAGAGGAGAATGGAGGAGAAGGGATTGCAGCATGGCCATCTCCCCTGGGAGGTGGGGTGATTTCTTGCTTTCTATCTCTCTGTCTCTCTCTCTGTCTGTCTGGCGAGTGCACGCGACCTATAGTGAAAAACCTCTCCAAAAAAAAAATCATTGTCATGGGGACCAGCAGTTAACGTAATGGCTATGTCACTGGACTCCCATGTAGTCAACCATGGTTCGAGTCCCGGACCCGGTGGCTTAAACTCACACCAGGCACGTGTGTGCGTGCCCGATCCTGAGAGGAGAAGGGATTATGGCACGGCCATCCCCCCTGGGGGGTGATTTCTTGCTTTCTATCCCTCTGTCTCTCTCTTTCTGGCGAGCGCATGTGCCCTATAGCAAAAAACCTCTCCAAAAAAAGAAAAAAAGTCATTGTCCTGCAAAGATGTGAGCACCAAGGTGGGTGGACACCGGAGTGTCAGCGGAGACGGAGGCTGTGTGTGGGAAAACGTCTCCCAGCAGAAGTGAGCCTTCCAGGTGGACTGGCTGCAGAGCCTGGAGCCAGTAATGCTGTGGCACTGGGCACCAGGCAGACCTCGCCAAGGACAGCCCCTGTGCAGAGCCCACCTGGGAGGTAAACTGGGCAGCCTCCTGCGGTGGGTCGGACTTGCTGTCTCCACACACGTTGCCACGGCGGATGTCCTTGACCGACACGTTCTTCACATTGAAGCCCACGTTGTCACCCGGCAGGGCCTCGCTCAGGGCCTCGTGGTGCATCTCCACTGACTTCACCTCGGTGGTGATGTTCACCGGCGCAAAGGTCACCACCATGCCCGGCCGGAGGATGCCCGTCTCCACTCGGCCCACGGGCACTGTGCCAATGCCTGGTCGAGAGGAGAGGGGTGTGAGGGGAGGCTGGGACAGAGAGGCCAGCGACAGGACCTCAGGGAACAGCATCGGAAGGCGGGCAGGCATGGTGATGGTGGGTGAGCCCTGGCTGTCCCGCGACAGGACCACTGCAGGACCTCTCCTCTCAGAGACCCCTACCTGGCCCCAAGGCTGAGCACTGAGAGGCGTGGCCATTTGCTGCAAGCTCCTGCCACGGACAGGTGGCCTGCCCGCACGGCATAGTCCCTGATGGGTCACAGTGCGCCAGCCCTTCTCACGGACCTTTTCTGGGGTGGGGCAGTGACGGAGGCTAGTGTGGCATTATGGCACGGCAGAGACAGGTGACCTGGCCCCCGAGACCCCGTGGCCAGTGCCTGCAGTGCAGTGGCAGGTGTGAGCTGGGCCCTCACTCACCGCCGATCTTGTATACGTCCTGCAGCGGCAGACGCAGGGGCTTGTCCGTGGGGCGCGTCGGGGGCAGGATTGTGTCCAGGGCCTCCAGCAGGGACACGCCGCTCGCATTCCCCTCCTTCCGCTCCACCTTCCAGCCCTTGAACCATGGCATCTGGGCAGGGGCGGAGACCACCATGGCTGCCCAGCCACCACTGCTCTAGGGCCCTGGGGGCTCCAGGGTTCCTGCTGCAGGTGCCAGGCCAGGATCTGGGGAGCAGGGTGTGGCCCGCCCACACCGACACCAGGCTATTCAGGTGAGCTTCGCTTCAGGCCCTCAGAGAAGCTGAGCCCCTCACCCCACCCCTGCTCAGCTCCCCAGCACCAGGGAGGCCTTGGGGAAGAAACCTCCTGGAAAGGGGTCAGAGAAACAGAGCCCCCCATGACCAGGTCCAGCCCAGCCCTGACTTCCCCTCGACCCCCCAGCCCAGCCGTCAGATCCCTGGACAGAGCAGGCGACCAAGGCAGCAGGCCAGTCTGCGGGCCAGCCCAGCCTCAGCCCACACCCCTGCACAGCCCCTCTGCCCACCCTACCAG